ATGCACAATTGGAATGGTCAACGGAGCGCAGTGTCTGAGGGCAGTGAGTGGAACGACTTGGGGGGAAGAAAATTAAAGAGGCAAGGGTTGTAGGGAGTCTGTTCCATTATAGATTTCCTTTTATAACTGATCTCTTGGAGGAACTGCTAACGTCTTTTCCGACACTGATCTCCTGCCACATTCCACATCGTGTTCGCATTCCATCCAAGGCCTCCCCAGATCCGCTTCCATCAGCCTCTCCCCACACCCATGACGCCAGTGGCAGCGATCTCCCCAACTACACGCGCAACTCTACTCTGACAAACCGCCACTTTTCAATGAATTCGAATCGTCATTGACACAAATAGCTTTCAAATTGCACATGTTGAATGGGTTCAATGGCGCCTGGGGCTGGAGGGGGGCGGGGAGATGGGGGCTGTTGCATCGCTGGGGCGTGTAATTGTTGCTGCTGCAATAGAGCAGCGATTTCAGCGGAAATTCCAAAAATATCCACTTGCTGTACTGAGAGTTTTGACCAAATATTAACATTATTTAGTCTTAATATTAAATAAAAAATGTTTTGTTGTAGAATAACTGCCTCAGTGTGGATGCAAGAGATCGCTGTTGCATGCCCCAAGGTGGTTAGACGGGTTGCCACAACATCGAAAACAACCGCAACAACATTCGCCAGCAGTTGCAAGTTGCAACCTTCCCTCCGCCAATCCAATCGAGCCTCACGCCTCGCGCCTGCATCCCCCCACGGGCCTCACCTGGTCTCACCTTGCCACCCCTAGCCCCCGCCTATGCCCGTCCCTGTCTCGCATGGCCACAGACGTCGGGCCGCGGACTGCGGGCTGCCGGCTGGGGGCTGGCTGGCCGTCCCACTCGCACACTCACAATGACCCAGTTTCCAAAGCGGAATGTAAACAAATTTGACCTGGAAAAAAGAGTTTTTGTTTTGTAAACAAACCGCGACTGAGACGGCGACCGAGGCTGAGACTGCGACTGCGACGCAAAAGCTAACGTTAACGTTAGCGTCGACGCAAGCGACTAAGGTGGCTCATACTGCGTTTTGGGCCACAATAGGAGGCAGCCATATTCGCGAAAAATATCCAACAAAGCCATTTAGTTGATTATACTACCACTACTATTAAGAAAATGAAGAAACAACTGCCGTTTGAGGGAAAATTAATAGTGTTGTATACAACAAGTTATTTGTTTTTTAATTCTTTAAACTAAACCCTTGGTAATACTAAGTTTGTCTTATTTTGGTGGTACAGTATTTGGGCTTTGACCTTTCCACTTCTCTCTGTTGTGTAGTGGCCTACGATGATCTCATAACTCGGTGAACTCCCTGACCTCCACTTTCACTATCTCCCCGTCAGACTTCTTCTCTGTTGTCGGCGCTTCAAATATTTCTCACATTTATTACCAGTTTTTTCTTGCGTTTTGGGGATTTTCCCATAATTTCTTGTTATGAGCCATTTTCTCTTTGGCTTGTTGTGTTTTTATTTGTTGGTATTACCATTGAAGAGTTAGGAAAGCAAAAATATTAAATTCCAAAGAGTTAAAATAAGTATTTTGTTTATACTCGGTGGTCTTTATATGTACTTTCCCTAAAGAAGTATAACTTTTAATATTTTTAACATCCAAATAAGGAAGGAGAAGATAAACATTGAGGTTCTACCCTAGATCTCTAAAACAATATAATTTTTACCATTTTAAACATCAAAATAATACAAAGACGGAGGTTCTACCCTAATTATACAGGGAGTTATAGGGATTCTACAAAGCAGTATAATTTTTAACATTTTCCAAATATAAATAATATAAAATTGAATGTTCTACTGCAGTTATATCCATAGTTATAGATATCCCTAGCTTGCATCTTTATTTCCATTTCAAAGTTTCCTTAGTATAAGTCGGAAAGATGGGGTTCCATAAGGGAGTGATCGTAAGGTCCAAAATATTCATGGAAATTAAGATAGAAGCTGGGAGTTTTCTGCAAAAAAGTTGAGGTTCTACCAAAGATATACTCCGAGTTATAGTGTTGCATCCTGCTTTCCTTCACTATATAATCCATATATGATCCATATAAGTAAACACCCGGAATGGCCATTTCATGATAACTCAGAAAGAAGCTTGAAAGTTTTTTCTAAAATTCATATAATACGAAATATGAAGGTCTGATATTAAGACACCCATAAGTATCAGCTAGATCCGCTCTTTGCCAATAAATCCCCCAATGAACTATGTTCAGTTGTTTGTGGTTTTATGATTAATTGTAGTCTCTTAGTCTTTTGAAATAAAGCAAAACAATAATTGCGCCCTTGAAGCTCATCCGTGTCAACAGAATCGGGTGAAAAATAAAATGTGTTTTTGTCGAGCTGATGTTGTTGGGGCCTTCGATTGTTTACTTATTAAATTCAAAAGGCTTTGGGTTCCAATTCTGCTAATTGGCAGCTGCAAAACAAGCCACCGCCAAAACAATTGGAAAATATGAAAAATAACGAAGCCGACAGAGGAAAATTACCAGAAGGTAGGTGCGAAGGTGGGGGGCTTAAGGCGGTGGGGCTTTTGGGGGCAAGGAGAGGTGCGGAGTCTCTCTAAAAACAGGCAGACATGCAAAAAGGAAATCTGAGGCCGGGCAGAGACTCGTTGTCGGGAAAAACAACAACGAAGCAGAAGACTGAAAGGCAAACAGCAAGCGCTACAAAAAAATCGAAGAAAAAAACTCACAAATGACAACTGCAGTTGCAGAAGAAAAAAAATGAACAGTGTTTTGCGTGCACTTCACTTAGCAACATTGTTGCAGCCGACAGACAGGCCGTGGAGGGGACTGGGGGGAGGGCACTCGGCTCAATGGATGTGTATGAATTGCATTTGTGGCAAAAAAAATAAAAAAAACGTTGCGCCTGCGCCAGTGGCAGTGGCAGAAAGTGAAAGATGATCGCGATTGCAGGCGAGACACCAGAACGGACCGGGGAGCGTGAGGTGCCTGCCGAGGAGGTGGGTATAGGTGCAACACAGATCACACAATAGGAACGTGAGTGGGCAAAATATTGGCTACCCTATAGGTAGGTAGGTCGAATACCCTTTTCAGACTATCTAGAAGACTAGTTCTGGATCGAAAATCCGCAGAGATCCGGTTGCTAATGATTTTGATGATTTGCAATTGTTGTCTAGCCGAGGGCTGACGAGTAATTCTGATTTCTTCAGCCAGGAGAATCCAGGAAAAGAAATGGCTAAAGCACTGGCCTGTATGGACGTCATTAACGCATCTTCGTTTTGGCCATCAGTGACATTCAACTTACTGCTCTGGCAGCCGGAAAAAGGGGAGCCTCCAAGGGTTAGGGGGCTGACGGCTCGAGAGGCTGGCGGAGGAATAAAATAAATAACAAAAACCTCAAGCTTAAGCGCTAAAGTTGTTTGCTCCTCTCCGCCTCTTGAACATATTTCAACTGCAACATTGTTGCACCACATTCAGGCACGAAGACACGAAGAAGGATCGGCGACCGCATCTGGGCCGGAGTGATGGGCTGTGAGCGTTGAGGGGCCCGGCAACTCTGACTGATGGATCACTTTGTGTCATGTGGCTGCTAATAGATCTGGCAAACAGAAGAAACCACTGACAACTGATCGAGTCCAGACCTTCCAGAGGAAAGCTACCTCTTTACTAGTCTCGGGGAGTTCAAGGACCTTAAAGATGTCTAAGGTCTTTAAAATAAACACATCCTGAAGGACAATAACATAATAAATATCCAACAAAACCCGCATTTTCCTCATTGGATTTTGGCCACCTAGTGGGAGTGGACGAGGGGGAAGCCTGTTCCCCAGCAGTAAAAAAAAAAAAGCGCTTAGTTGTGGGGGGAGGAGCGGCCGAGCGGTAATCGAGCATACAAGCGCATTAAGGCAGCAGACAATTATGCTGCGGCAACATTGTTGCAGTCAAGCGCCGCCGCCGAGTCGTTAGCCACGCCCCTCCCGCCTCCGAGATCCACACAGGCTTCACTTACTCTGCCCGGCATGAGTGTGGATTTTTTTTTTCTGCGTTGTATGCGCAATTTAAATTTAGTCAGCTGGAAAATTTTATGAGGCCGAAGTCATAAAAAGCGACTTGTACAAGAGGACGCCCGTCTCTCTCATTTAAAGAGACAGCGAGTGTGGCGGAAAAGCGTGGCGGTCGGCGTGGAAAGTCCAGAGCTAAAAGATGCCTCGTTAGCCAAAGATTCATTAAAGATGGCTTGCAATTATGTACGAAATCATTAAGAAAACGTGTGCTAAAATAAATAAATATTATATTATTGCCATCTTTTACAAATTTCAACACTTTCAGTCACTTTTAGCCAGTTGGCCAGTTATCCACTTTTAGATAATCAAACCTCAATACCAATTCGAAAATCTGCATTCCAGTTCCCATCCTTTTGCGATTACGCTGCGTCAACATTTGATATTCATGAGAGAGTCGGAAATAACCAGCTCAAGGGATATGAGTGGGGGTAAGTGGCTAGCACGTGGCAGAGTTAGCACGTCCTTCTAAAGGAGGTTCTGCAGGTTCAGCAGTGAAAAAAATTTAAATAAAATCTCATGCTACTGAGCCAGGAGGGGCTTTCCTTTATTTTTTTTTAGATTTTTTTATCTCTAGCTTTTAGTCAAGTCCTTGAGATGGTTTGCAGAGGCCACTCGCTTGGCAGAAGTTACCTTGATTGGGGTTTTTATTTAAGATACACTTGGCTTAAATTATTTACCAAAAAAAAGAAGGATTATGCAGTTAGGTTCTAAGAGCCATCTTTTAAAGAGACTTCATCAGAAATGGAAGATTAGATAGATCAACCATTTAAAGATGAATATGAAGAAATTGTGGTTATAATTGAGATGCTTTTGGATCTTCTAGATTCTTCTAATCTCCTGTAGGTCAGTCTAAGTTTCTTTAGATTCTTTTTGGCTCCTCTAATGTCCACTATCTTCCTCTAGAGTCAAACCTCCTTTCCAAAATAAACATCATAGACTGTGGTGTGTTGGAGAAAACTTTATTTCTGGATTGTTTTTGGATTGGAAACGTTACAAATATGGCGAATCTTAATTGGGTCGACTTGACGGCTACGCACTAACATTTATGTACGATATAGATCGGAAACGATGTGGAGTGAGTGTTAATCGAGTATTGTGTGAAGTAAAACTTACGCACTAATTAGAGTTGTTTCGTTTGGGGAGTGTGTATGGGTGTGTTGGGGTGTCTGGGTGTCAAGGGGGGTGTGTCTATGGGTAATCGCAAATGAAAAATGCAAACGCAGTCGATAACGCTGTTGGCCACATCCTTGAACTATTTGCAGGCACACACATACAGGCACAGCCCCACACTCCGAACTGGCACAATCGCTCACTCAGACACGCACACAACTAAGACGTTACTCATACGACCCGTATGCACGCTAGTTGTTTTCCTTTCGCTCACTGGATCCCCCTCCTGGGTCCACCTCTGCCTCCTGCAGCTCGACTTTTTTTTTGTATCCTTCGCCTATTGCTCGTCAGGATGCAGCCAAGTGTTATGCAACCGCCTAAAGGACTTTATCGTGTGATTTCTTAGGTGATTTGCGTTGTTTGAGTTTTGATTTTCAGTGCTCTGTGGAGAGGTGAGTGCTACTCCTCTGCCCTTCTCCTCCGCCTCCTATAGGAATCTTCCTCCTTCCGGAACTTCTTAGAGCAGATAGCATTTCCGGCGCCAGCAGGAGCAGGTGCAGTGAGCATGGCGATAGTAGCGGCAGAGGCACTTCAGATACTTGTAGCCAGCGCAGCAGTGATGCGAGTGGGAGTGCGAGTGGTAGTGACTGTAGCAGGAGCTGTCGTGCAGACAGTAGGAGTAGCAGCCGCAGTCGCACATCTTTCCAGATGATCTTTCTTCCTTCTGCCCTTGCTTGCCTTGAGAGTACCTTGAGTTTGGTGGTTGATTCTCTGGAGCTTGATTTCCGCGAATGTCCCAACTTCCTGGCTAGCTGCTGCCGAACTGATTTCTGATTTCTGGCCAACGCTCCGACTTCCAGCTTGGCTTAGGTTAGTTTGCCTCGAAGGCCCCAAATTTGAATGCGGTCGCCACGGGTTACCGGAGTTTGGTCGATGCCGGAGCCACATTTGCGTATTTGGGTGGCCAACATTCGTACCACGAACCGAGGCACTGTGCCCCAATATGGGTTAGTGCTGTTGTTGTTATGGCAATTCATGTGGAAATCATGTCAATTGATTATGGCCACCATCGCCGCCGTCTCCGCTTTGAATATTATTATTGGTGGGGCTTTCATTTTTGGCCAATATCTGCCTTAGACAAGGTTTGAGGTTTCAGTTTCCAGGGTATTCTCAGGTTTCGACCATTTTAAAATAGTTCCCCATCGGGGCTGCCTGGCACAGCGCTCTTAAGTCGAATCGAGTATGATTAATCGCCGATTTTATGGCCGAATATTTGGTTATATTTTTGTGCATTAGCCCGCCGACTGCCCGAAATAGACCTGGCCGAATGCAAATTCATGCCTGACCCCCATTTGCCGCTCGCATTAGTCACCAACCTCCTCATCGGATCGCCATATAACATAGACAGATGTATGTATGTGCTTAGGCGTGTATCTGCGCCGCTTGCTGCTATTGCAACCGATGTGTGGCAATCGATGACACATGCTGCTATTGCAGTAATGACGTCACCAAAACCACCAAGCCACACGGCGTATGAGTTATTTTGTTTATGCGTTGTCTGAGACTACTGGGAATGAGATCAGTTTGGATCAAAATGCACTAGGTGAGCTCATCATTATAGACTCTTATTAACCCCTGAACTGTCTTTGGCTGCTTGCCACATTCGTGTGGGCTATCATCGATCTTCGTATGATAAGTTTGTTTTTTGGGGGGAAGCCTTTTAACCCCCCGTTTAAAGTCCAATTAAGTTTAAGGTCAGAGGCAAGGCGAAAGGGTGTAGGTCCTTCTCGGGCTCTGGTGTTTTTTGAAGTGTCCTCGAGCGCGGAAAAAGCGGCAAAGTTTTGTCAGCCAGCCAAGCCTGGCTAAAAACGAAAAGGGGCTCTAGATTGGGCTGCGAATGGAGGGTTTTCTGCAGTTTAATTCGAGTGCCTGCTACGGTCAGCGTATGGCTTGAATTGGGGAAGCTTTCGCGGGTCCTTGGCAGGATTGCAGTCGCAGGAAGCCCCGGCTGTCAGTATGCGGCAAGTAATGGTGTTGCGTGTCGTTTTCGCCACAAAGTGACGCTGATAACCAGAGTCAACTACGGCAGCTGACGTGGGTAGCCCCTAGTCCAAAAACAAAAATGAAAGTCTCGAAAAAAACTAAAGAAATAAATTTCTGTAATAAGGCACTAAGCGAGCCAGGAAAGGAAACCATTTGTGTGACAATCTTTTATCTGAAAATATACAATTTTCAACCTTTGTTTTAAATTTTAGCCAAAAACTATCCATGACACCTCATGCGGTCACTCTCCTGGCTCTGCTAGGCTTCTCTCCCTTGTTTTTTTTTCCGAAAGCTCCCCAAGTATGACCCCTTTGCCGGGCCAACTTCCACTTTGCATTCGCCGACGATTCTTAATTCTCGATTCTGGGCTGCATGTGGCACGCAAGAGGTCATTAAAAAGCACTAAAAACGCAACACTCGTAAAAACAATCCAGCTCTTGCCCCTTTTTTTCCATTGTGGCTGTGTCTTAGTCACTGTTTCCTCTATCTAGTGACTATTCCTGACTTTCCAGTCAGCCATGGCTGATGCAGCAAGTCATAAAGAAGTTAAGTCTAATAGCATAGTTTTAAATGTTTCATTGCGCATAATAAGCCTCATTATAAGTCTGGATAGAAGTTGGATAATTATTTAATTAATAATCCCAAATGCAGATTATGCAGATTATCTCTCCCAAAGATGCAGATTATATATTCAAATAAGCAGGTATAGAATGCATTTTGTAGCTACTCCCAAAGTGAAAGAATTTCAAGACGAATGCACTTGCTTAGACTCTTCAAGCATTTATCAGTTCAAGGCTGTGGCATAACTCACAATAAAGTCGATAATCAGCTCGCGACTACCCCCCCCTCATGCCAGATTATCACACACTCCCAGGTCCCGTGATGTCTACTATCACATTTACTCACCCAGTGACCCGAAAGAACCCCGACCCGGCTCCCTTGTCTCAACTTGTTTACAGTTCTGTAATGTAATGGAAATTTTTCAAAATTTTTCCACCAATTCCCTACCAAGGGAAAACTACCCAAAAAAAAAAAAAAAAGAAGAAGGGAAACCTTGTGCAACATTAATGAAAAAAGTGCCAAGTGGGTAAGTTTCCATTAGAGCTCGAGTTCAACCGATATTTGAATTATAATCACAATTATTTGCTCTGCTCATTAGTAGGGGCGTGGTAGAAGTATTTTCTGGCACTTTATGTGCATTTAAGCAAATTGTATTCGAAATTGAAATGTTTAAAAGAAAGCAAAAGTTGTCTGAACCCACAAATCATATCCTAAAGGTCACAATAATAATAATTCGGAAAGTGTACGTTGGTTAACCCTCCACAATGGAAGTGCGTGAAATGTATTCATTTAAGGTTTTTTTTTGCTTTTATTTAACTTCTTTTAAGTGCGATGTGGCGGATTCATTCACCTTTTAATCAACAAACCAGTTTCGCTTGTTTTTATCGTGTCGTGTGATGATTTGGCTTTTGGTTTTGCCAAAACGAATTTCCTTCTTTTTTGTGAGACTCAGTAGAGCTCGAAAACAGTTTCGAATAAATTTTAATGATCATTTTTAGATGCTACTAAATAGAGTCAGGGAAAATAGGAGTAAGGTACAGAGCTATAGGACTTCTCAACTAAGTCTATTATTCTTTTAATCTAGGATCTATTCGGCAGGATCTATACAATATGCGACATCGCCCCTCTGTAGCAAAAGGCTCTTCTGAAGCTATCCGTTTATTTTAAATTCTTTATGACCTGTTTGAAATTTCGGTATAAATATAATTGTATTTGAATCGACTCAAATGGAATTCCATTTTGGCATTACTTGCCGATTACCCCACGGCTGGTAACTCTTGTTAATACGAATCCGCCAAGTGGTTGGTGGCCTTTTATCTGTGTGGGTCTCTCAAGTACGTGGCCTGAATGAAAAGCCCAACACGAGCGAGTGTTGTTCCTCGCTTTTTGTATTGGCACTGACTTGATTTTTTCGCAAATTATCTCGATTTTAACATCTACCACAGAAACAAGACAAAACGAACGAACTTCATGAATGAACCAACCTGAACTGAAAGCCTGAAGAGTGAAAAAAATGTCAATACCGAAAATATGTTTTTTGTTGCTTTTTTTCATACTTATTTTTTTTTTGGTATTTGGAGAGAGCTCGAGTAGTTTCGACCACAAGTGGGTTTTGTTTTCGAACTGTATCTGCTGGCTTCGGGGTAAGTGGAGCTCGAGTGCCGTGAATGCATTTCAATGATGAGAAAGTCAATTCAAATCGGATGGAATCGGTTCCTGGAAAGGTAATTGTTTGGCCAAAAATCCATCCATCCAACTAGTTGAAATAAATTTAAAAAATTTATCAAACAAAAACCTTTTTTTAAACATCTTTAATAGTTAGTAGTTTGAATGGCCAAGTCCGGCTATGAGCTCTTGGGCAAATTTCCGGTTTCTGGTTTCGTTGTAAAAAAAAAAGAGCCACAGCTAGCGACATCATAGAAAATAAACACATTTTTTCGGTACGTTTCGGTATTTTTGGTTCACACGTGCGGGGGTAATAAACTTCAAATGACCGAAACTGAATGAAGCTCAGCACAGCCATTAAAGTGGGCCTGGCTTGGCCACAATCGAGTCAAGTGTTGAAGCCAAACACTCGCGCGATCCCCACTTAACGATACAGAAACACTAATAGAAACAAAGGCTTACCAATGGAAAAGCCAAAAGCACAACATAACAAGCCGAAAAATTGTTTAAAGCCCGCTCGTGTTCCCCCAAGTTCTTATCGCTTGTTGTGCCTTATTGATGTATCTTCTGTTTTTATTATTGTCGAATTTTAATTAAGCCAGGCTCGGTACACGAGCACGATTAATCCGTTTATTGGCTATTAGGTTCAATGTCTCTTGTTGGACATCCAACAATTCAGTAACTTACTAGTCTGGTCAGTAAGCTTCTTTTTTTTATTAATGAAAAATATTACGTATACGCAATATTATATTTCAGGGTGCTTGAGAGTCTATTTTGAACGACATTCCACCCTCAAGAGTCATAAAAATTAATTTATTTATAACCCTTTCGCGGCTCATGTAAGCTCCTTTCTAGGGTGGGGTTGATGGCCATAAAATGGAGAGACTTGGGTAGAGAGTTTGGCATTCTGCTGACAAGTCATTAAGGACTTTGGGGGCTGCCACTTATACCTTATCACCTATTAGAAACACTGCTAACGATAATGCTAATGTTAATATCCTGCCCGAGGATGAAAGTTCAGCATAATAATGTTAATGCCTACAAATAATGGGGGTACTGAGCATATGTAATATTTAAAATGTAATAATTTTCACTCATAGCATAGACTTTAGTTTAAGTTTTCCTAAACTCCCAATCTATTAAGGTTTTAGGACGCCGCTAATAATATCCAGGTGGCTTTCAAAATCCCCTCTTCAAAGGCTAGATCGAACTTGAATGCCTATTGGAGGACCATTAAACTTGATGGTCTTCTGAAATTTCTATCGAAAAATATGCATAGAATTTCTCCCCTGACATTTTCGCCTGGGGGTGGTTTAACCTAACGCTGTGTATGGGGGGATTGGTGTATTAAAACTTTATATGCATTATAAAATTGGATTTTATGTCACTCCTGAAGTTCCATTAGACCCAGCGCACCAAAGGGAGAGGAGCACCAAAATATTTTTGATAGTCAATTGCGTGCCAATGGAAGTTAAGTGTTTCTATCCTGTTCCCAAACAACTTTCCCATAAACCCACAAATATTTCGTAATACTATGTACTCGTAAAAACTTACCCCACCAAAGACCAAAGTGCACTAACGTCCTTTTATTATTCGGACTGAAGTCTGTAAGCTGCCTTTGAATTCGGTTCAAGTATTGTTGATTCCTGGTATCCTAAAAAAAACAAATGTCGTGTTTTATAACAAATAAAATTTTTATTTTTATTGTATCCGCTCCATTGGTTTTTTTTATTGAAATGG